GAGAGAGAGAAAAAATAACATGGATCCTGAGTAGAAAGGTATATAACAAAATAATAATAAACAAAAAATAATAAATTGCAGTTCTGTCACTGGTCCGGCGGTAGTTTTTTCTTTTTTTTCTTCTTCTTTGTATCACAAGTGGTTATCACGAGTAGTCTTTCGTAGTCGTTTCGAATTCAAAATATCCCTGGTCTCAACTGTTCTCCTCGAGCAGATTTAAATAATTATCTAAAATTTCGTTGAACCACTCGCGCTTCACAGGATCTTTGAACACTGGCGTCAGACTTCGCAGATCCAACTGTAGAAGAGCCTCGTTCTGGAGGAGTCCGTTCAAATCGCTCAGCAATTTCGTATCTCCGTGGATCTTCATGAGGCTGGTATACGAAAATATGTAATAGTGTACGCGTAGGCGATTTGTGGCCCAATGCTTCACCGTTTTGTTGCCACTCGCTACTTGGATTTGACCTATATGCTCTGCGTACCACGGGCTGAAGAAGTTCGACAGCTCCACCGGACTCAAATTCTTGATACCCCTAGTTTTCAGGCGCTCCCGTATCCTTAGATATATAGGTTTGTGGTAAACAAATACCTGAAATACAAATCGATATCAATACAACGAAATATTAATTTATCTATTTTCTTAATTTTTTTTATGTTAATATTATTTTTAAATAAAATATAAACCACAATTAATTTTCTTTTTAGTAATAATATTATTGACCTATTTAAGTGAATTTTGACTTTGATAAATGTTTTGAAATGACTTAATAATAATAGTTGAATTTGAAAAGTCCCAGGTTAAAGTGATGTGAAATTATCGCGAGATAACATCAACCTTTGTATGCAAATTAATTGTAAAAATACAGAGTTTAATTGAAACGTTGCTGCGCGTGCTAATAAGTAAATTTACGAAAGATTGGGTAAATGTCAATTTACGCAAGGCAATTTATAGTGGATTTTATCTTGCTGCTGCTTTATTCAAATGTATTACTAAATTTGATTATTACCGAAGAAGCTATAAATATTTTACTTAACTTTACAATTCTATTAAGTATTACCTCTTTTTGTAACAAGATTAAACTGATATATTTATATACTACTATTATGAACTTCAAGTTTTATGTATCTCTCTTTAACGATTTCCAAAAATATCTCCTCCGGTAAGTCTATAAAATAGACGAAAATAGTTTATGTGCAGCAGAGTTACGATAAGTAGAGAAAAGCATTCTAAATTCTCCAGATTTAATCTTTAATATCTGGTATTATTTTTTTCTTTTCTTTGTATTATTACATATGAAAATTGGTAATTTATTAAAGACTTTTAATAACCATAAGTTTAATTATAAAATAGTATATTCAAGTGTAGAAATGAACAATTTATGATTAATTGAAACTGGTCTGCGATGCTTGATGCCTGATAATTAAGTATGTTGGAGAAGAGACAATCAATTTAAATCAGTTCCTTGTTCTCAAACATGTTCTCATGTGTCAGGGCAGGCAAATGTCGCATGTCGATTCGCATATCTATTTTTATTCAATTGGTTGTAAGTAAATGGCAATAGTTGCGCACACACACACACACATTCCAATTGCACTTTAGAAGTCTGCGACTTTTAAACNNNNTTTGTTATCCGTGTTGAGAAAATTGCGCTTCACAATGCGAAGTAATTATGAAGCCAAGGCTGCTGGAAATTATTAGTTAGTCAACTTTGGAGCGATTACAAAATAATTTTGATACAAAAGTAAATAGGACAGTAAATTCACCTGGTATAAGGAATTTCCAGTAACGAAGGAATTGATGTAGTGCGTTCCGACGCGCCTGGTGAACATGAGGACGCTCGCCACATCGCCCACAAAGATCTTCTCAATTTCCTCGGCCATATTCTCCAGAAGATTCACATTGTTCGGCAACCTCGAGAGTTTAACGTTGTCCCAGAAACGAGATAACCGCACTAATACATAGCAGTAGTCGCCGTGAACGAAAGATGAGTTTATACCCATGTGTCGGGCTATCGTCTCCGGCGAACTCCAGCCGGTGGTGAAAGCCTGCCAAGGCTTGTCCAAGCCTTCGAACGCGAAGTCCCTGAAGTATGCTTGCTTGAGTTGCCGTAGGTTGTCGCAGAATTCCATGTGGAATTCCCCGTTGAAGCTGCCGCTCTTGGCACTCCTCCGCGGGTGCACCGTTAACGGATCCAGATTTGCGAACACGTCGTACGTGGGTTCCCTAAATATCCAGCTGGTATCGCTCTCGTTCCGTGCGACCACTCTCATCGTGATACCCAGATACCCATATCTGCTCATTATGTCCATCGACTGACCCACCTGAAGCTTATCCCCGTCAGCTGCAGACACGAACGCAGTTAGCAGCACGAGCAATAACGCCCGGCTACACATTCTTGCCGCGACTGCAACCTGCAATAAACAAATTTACAATTTACAAGACAACAACAAAAAATCTAATCTATCTAATGCGCGCGCCTTTCTCGATTTACCAAAGATACACTAGATCTTTATTTATAAATTTACACTTCAATCTTTCTCAATTCATCTTTAATAATCAATATATTAAATTATTCAATCTTGTGCAAAGTTTAATTGTTGATGTTAATTTTATGTCAAAAACTATTGAAATAATACTAGAACATGGAGTATTTATAAATTAAAAAACGTTTCGTAAACTATTTGTTTGCTGGTTTACTAGTTGTTTTTTTTTAAGTAACTACCAGTTTCGAGGAATTACAGAGTATTTCAAATACTCATTACGCGATTAATATCCTCAATACTGAATATAAAAAAAAATAGAAAGTTCTGCAATAAACCGAAGGTCGAAGATCTAGATTGCGAACCTAATTTTGCTCATCTAATGAGCGAACGTTAAGTTATATTCGAAGGTTACCCATCCTCGCAATTACTTTCTTTCCATTTAGTAGCGTTATTGCGTTGTATCTTCTTCCAAAAGAAGCGAAAACTAGATCGGAGCTGTCGGTGGATAAATGGAATGTAGATTGCGGTAACACATAAATAATAATTTGCAAGGACAAGGACGACAATCACGAGAAGGGAGAGTTCAAGAAATTCGAGACGACGTCGTTGAACAACCTTAACTCTAAAAGGAAGTTACATATTTTTTTCCTGCAGCGTTTACACGCATTGTTTTAAATTAGGTTTCACTCAAACAAGGACATTTTTTTGTTGATGTGTTGAAAGTAATGGATTTTATATTTCATCGGCCATTTCAAAAGACTCGGTTTATTTGGTTTCAGATAAGAAAAGATAGCATCAATTCAATTTATATGTTTTTTTATTTCTTATTATTTATATTTCCAGACGAAATACTAAACTTAGTTCTGCAGTTTAAGTATGAAACACGTTACGTGTTTTGATCTCGTTATTGCTTTGTTGCTTGAAAGTTTTAAGAAGAAATTAACGGTCACGTTTATAATTATATAACACTTCTTATCTCAGTTTTTTCCTTGGTGTATTCTACAATGCGACGAAACAGTTGTTTACTTTTACTAATTAACTTACTATCTGTGTTGTCTATCTAAGGACAAGCCTGTTACTTTTCCACTTTATATATGTATGTCAATAAGTGCGATTAAAGCAGATGTATTAGTAGGGACTGCTGTGTTTATTATGCAGGGTTACTCCAAAAAAAACATATACGAAAGTAAAAGAAAAACACGGGATCATCCTGATAAACTGGAAAACAGACAAGGTTATCAACTGGAGACAATAAATCAAGACTAAAATCGTAAATGAAGAAAATCTCTGTAGTGTTTGTTTTTGCTAAAGCCATAGAAGTATGAAATCAAAATACTTTCTGATCGTTTCGTTACAGCAAATATTGAGTAGATTCTATGTTTCACATAAGTATTATTTAATTTAAACATTAATATTTGTCAATGGCGCTGTTGAATAGTCGATTGCTACAAAATTGAAGTTAAAATACTGTAATTACCACTGTTGAAGGTTGTGAAATTCACCATTATCTGATAATTTCAACAAAAAAAATGTAGTTTGGAAATAAACACGCAAAGGATAATGATAGTACTATTATCTCTACATGTACATAATGAAATTTTAACAAAGTCGCACTATTTTTCATCTTATTTCAAAATCTATCTCAATCAATTGATATGATAATCATAAATATGCAAATGCTACAACTTAATAATCTATATTTTTCAAACTTAGTAAATGTTCGGAATTATCGTAACGAAGTAATTCGTTAAGAGAATATTCATTCTCATGTATAATCCCGTTAACATATAATTAAGAAAACAAACAGAAGACTATTTGTTTTTTTAGATGTATAACAGTTTCGTTTCTTATGCTCTGCACGCGATTTCAGAGTAAATTAAAATAAGTTACAGCTTTTAAAATAAACCAATTAAATCATATTCATTTTATTTTTATAACAAGTTGTAGAATGTAATTTATTAACATTCTGAAATTGGCATACGGAAAGTGTTATTCATTACACGATATGAATAAAATATAGGAATATGTAATTTCATATCTATGTGGGCTAGCATCTCCAGCATGCGAGAGTTGTGAATCCCTACTACAATTAATCGGAGCTATGTGAAACTATCAAATTATCACGCGTAATTCCCATAAACTAGATCACTAATCGGCCAATTGCAAAAGATAGCCGCAGAGCGGAGAGCAGCGCAGTTTACGCGTTTCGGATCAGGCGGCTTATGACATAACGTTTATGAATTAAAATTGAATTTCGCAATGCGCTCTGCATCAAATCTGGCAACAACAACAAAAAAAAAAACAATAATAGAAATCAAAGTGTTGCAACAATTAGCGGTAGTAGATACGGCAGCAATACGGAATTCCGTGCACGTCTGGGCACTTTTCACACACGATCCGAATTGAATTTGGTTGACCACACAATGCGTGCGTCTTGAATCGATTGCGGGAATCAACGTGAAAAAATAGTCAAACATGTACGCACACAACAATTGCGAGAGTGAAAATGTTAAATCGTGCTATAGAATATTATTGCAATACATAACCAGTTTTCTTGCAAAATCACCGTGTCTGAACTCAATCAATAGCGATTTTAACAAATAAGACAACTCTATTTCCAATCGAAACCGCGCGCGCTCTCAACCTTTCCTCTTTTCCGAATGGTTATTTTCATGATGATCGGTATTAGATTAATGGATTACCCGTGATAACGTCTGAATGTTCATATTTTATATAATCCTCGACGGTTTTTACATTTCACCAATTGCTCACTGGAGTCACTAACAAACTAACTAATCCAAACTACAGAACTAAGTGGACGCGAACAAGGTGCGAGCAGCAGTTCCATAGAACATCGTGAACAGTATTCGGATATTTCGGTGGGACCGTGGGTCTGTCTGTCTGTCTGTTGTACGCCGTGTCGCGTGCACTGGGACATTATTGACCCAGGTTGCTCCCCTTGAATCGGGCAGGTGGTGTCCCTCGTGACGCGAAAGAGGGGCCGTAGTAGAGGAATAGCGTATAGCCGGCGCGCCGCGTTCACTTTCACTGTTTCCACTCGTGGCCGGTCTCCTGCCTGCTGCTGCTGCTGCTGCTGCTGCTGTTACCTTGTTTACAATTTCATAATTGTTAAGCGATTGGAATTTCGACCTGGTGGCCCCAAAAACCCCGTGCCGGAGATTTACGGAGATTTCGTAATATGCACAGTATGCACGATGATACCAATTGTCGCTATGATGACTACAGGCGTCAAAAATAAAAGGTCTAGGTCTCACAGTGTTTAGTGACCCAAAATCCAGTTACCTTGTTCAAAATTTACATTTTTTTCGTATTCAACGTTGCGTTTCTCTCTACAGAATATTATTAATGGTTCATCTAAAGACCATAACATTGATCGTGGTGGGTGGCTGTTATAATTCCATTTCGTAACTTATTGCCAAACGATTGTTGAAATCATCGTTTGTGGTCTAATAAACTCACGTAAATATTGATACATAATATACAATTTTCATTAATTCTAATTTGAGCCTCTAAGAGTTTTCTATTGATATATTCTTCAATTTATTGAAAAAGACGACCTTTAAAAATGAATCCACGTATTGAACACGGGGTCACATTTTTATTTTTTATAGTTTTACTAAACGTCTGTGCGAAATTTATTGCAATCTCCAACATCCTATTCATTAGTCAATAATAAAATATTTTCAGACGTCACGAAAAACAAAAAAAAATATATTCTTAACTATAAACTATTTTAAAGTGCATATCCAAATGGAATGGAACTTTTAGTGATCGTTCTTGAAATTTTAAAAAATATCTTACTTTTTTTTCATTTATTGTACTTTAATTACTATTTAATAACTAAATATACTAATTCCACGGACGACAACCTTTTATATTTAAGAAATTGTATAATTTTTATCCATTTTAAAACATGATGTATTCTATTTTAACAGTCATTAAACGAAATATAATGTAAATACGCATGTAATTAATACAAATAAATTAAACTTTTTTCTATTTAAATGCTAATAAATAAAGGTAATAGACATGACCTTCGTATAATTAGAGCTAATGGTTAAATTGAGTTCCTCAAATTTTGTGTTACATCATCGGATAACTTAAAGCGGACATTACTTATTGTTATTTTAACTTTAATACAAAATTAGAAAATTATTTAGGAAATGAACTATCACATTAACAACATAACGAACTAAACCATAATTAAGAACTAATCCGATTATATAAATTATTCTCTTCTTTAAAATGTTCCTATTAAAAATGTTGATAATGAGATTTGTCTCAATAGATTTGAAATGAAACGCCCTAATTTTCGTGACCATTTGTCGATTGGTTTAAATTTGAATAAAAACAAAATTATTCGTGAACAAAAAGAACCAATAGAATTGTTAAGAACGAAAAAAGCGGCTAGCGTCTAGCGTTTGGCGATATGATTCGCAGCTGCAACTAACTTTTTATGACTCTCTTATCTACTGTTCGAAACTCACAGTTTTTGTGGCCCAATACGTATTGTTCAAACAAGCTGTGATTCGTCGTATTTCAGATACACAGTTAACTTGGAAAAATGCCGACCCCCACGTCGTTATCTACTTAACTGGTGCATAGGGCACACGCCAATCTTATTACTGCCCTATTTGTATTAAACAGTGTTAGTGGACAAGTAAACAGCGATCAACGAGACCCCAATATTTCTAGCTACACCACTGTATCAATAACAAATACTTTAAATAATACTTATAATTATTTTTAATCACACATTCGTAATTATACATCTTCTATACATGTATTTCATTAAATAAACCGGTAAAAGTCAACGAATGTTAGCGAGCTTCATTTAAATGCAAAATACGGTTATATATAAATGTAAATGATATCATTATTGCAATGCTTAGACTTCCAAACAAAAGCAATAACTTTCACTTTATTATGTTTTAGTTCTTTGTGTTTCATTTCACCGTAACATTATTGAATTCGCAATATACGAAATCGCCGAAATGAAACCACAGGTCAGTTATTCAATTCTCATAGAACAATAGATTAATCCACGACTAATTAATAAATTTACTAATTTTTATAGCTTATATATTTCAAATTTGTAATCAAATCCTATAAATATTTTAAAAAATTATATAATTTCCATTATTTTTAACTAAAATTTATTTATTTCTTCAGAAATACTTTTAAATTGCTAAATTAAATTTAACATTTGCTAATGGTAAAAATCAATACATTAATTTTGATTATTTAAGTGATTTTAGATGTTATTTGTTTATTTTACTTATTTAAAGTTGAAGTGGAAAAGGTCTGGTTTTACCATATAAGTGACGTTTCCTAGTTATAACTAAAAGTTTAAATTTAATCACTAAGTAAGTTTTATTAATAAATGTTTTATTTATAGTAATTATAAATAACTGATTCAATAAATGCCATTGACAGACATAAATTACTGATAACAACAACAAACACTAATAATAAACATAGTGTGATTAATTTTTCCGAAGAGAAAGGCCCCGTTTGCAAGTTATTACATTTCTTCTTCAATTTTCCACGGATGTTGCGAAAATAATCGAAAAGCAATATATATTTGTAGTAGTGAGCATGTTAATAAGCTGTATGTGTCAAACGAGTAGTTGAAAGCATGAAATTAAGGAAGTACCAATTTTCTTAACGTACACACATTTCCTGTGAAATTAAAATGAGCCATCGCTCGTCGACTACCTTTTGTCCATACATTATTCAATGTACTGAAGCGTATTTCCCTTTTAAAAGGGTCCGCTTTTCATTTCATACAATTCATATAAAAAGAACCGGCACCGTAATGAAAATGAATCACGTAACAAGCAGATTCGAACGATACGATCGACTAGATTCTCGTGGTTTTATTTTGGAAAGAGACGGAAAGAAGCATTTTGTGTTTTCTAAATGTGATTATAATTACCATAAGACTTGTGCCGCAGTTGCATCTACTCGACTGGCGACTTGTTCAGATGGTTACTTCCATAGTGTATACAACGAAATAAGATAAAGATTTTGTGAAGCCCCTTATCATTTCCAAATAGTTAATAGCATTGCACTGCACCACTAGATTAATACATACAAACACTGTCCATCGCGAAATGAGGCATGCCGATCCGTGCGTGAACTGTGCGACGAGTGTGGTTGATTCGTTTACATGGACGTGTGCATCTCTTATGGTTTTGAGGATTTTTTGAGAGTTCCCTATGTTTTTGAAGAAGCTACAAAGTACAGGTTGCAGCAACAGCAGCAGCAACTGGCGATGTGCGGTCGCGCTACGCATGGAAATAGGTTCTCTCGAGTGTTTGTTGCTTGCTTGCTTGCTTGGATTCCGACGAGCTCCGCGTTTCTGTCTTATCGTACAATAAAAATTGTGTGGGTAATGGATATCTTCAAGTGCGTGCTATATTTTATCAATCCGGACACTGGAACGCACATTGTTGTGCAATATACTAATTTTGTTCGACCGGACACGAACTGCTTTTATTGATGATGATATTGCATTCATTCCATGTGTCTATTAATACTAGCGATTTTCACTGGATGAACTATACATCTATATCTAATACTGTTAGCCCTTGAGCACTAATGAGTAAATAAATAAACAAATATGATAAAATTCTGAGTTTTAGTAAATATTAATAATATGTTTGATTAAAAATATAATTTTATTAACTTTATAAAAAATATTACGTAAAATAAATATTTTGATAAGAATTACTAAAAAACAATTTTCATATGAGTTTGTTATGTTTATTGAATTACAATTTGTCAGTAGACGCATTGACCTTAGTCCTTTGGCCCCCTCAGATACTTAAATCAAAGATAATAATTATATATCTTTGATGTAATTATCTAACCAATATCTATTGCTCTATTTACTATAGACAATGAGATTTGAAAAAAAAGTTATAATTTATAAACAGATATAAAATTATATAGAGAAAATGTTGGAAAGAAATTTAAAAAACTTGTAAATAAATAATCTGTATATTGATTAAGTAACTTTCGTCTTTTTCATACGTTAAAGTAGTTTACGTTAAGTATCTTCTCAAATAGGTATATTCCTTTTATAAATATGCAGCACAAGAGAAAGCTGTTTAATCGAAATGATCCTTATTTTGTTTGCATTTTGTTCAAGTTCATTTGGAAATCTGACTTAACCGACTTATTTCACGATTACTCAGCAAACATAGTTTAAAGCAGTGATTTCCAATGATATGTTAGTACGACTCTCTTGTGCGTTTTAAACACCTGCATAATAGATAAGAAAGCAATACAAATCAGACGAAAACGACCGATTTATGACGCAATGAATCAGCTGCATCTGCAGAACTCTCAGAACGTCTAAACAAACAATCCAAAATGATATATTTCCAAATAAAATTGTATTAGTTATCATCATATTATATTCATATTTCAAGTAGAACATAAACCAATTTATCATCAATAATAACGACGAGATAGTCGGATAACTGATTGCACTTAAGAAGTCACGGTCATTCAATCCAGTGACATTTCACATTAATAGGATAGGTATAAAATTAGAATTTATGATAATAATTCTATCTATATAGATTTATCATTTTTTCAATATTACAACTTCATAGTTTAATAATAATAATAACAACGACTAAATTATATAATTAGATTTTATAAAACATTAAGATTTCTAAATTGCAAATCATGTTTATGCATTGAAAATTGAATTACGAAAATGCACAACGTTTTAGTTGCATTGCGAAAACCACATCTGTATTCCATTGACATTGAATTAGAATAAAGAAAAGTGAACCAGTATTCATTAAATAAAAATATATACACAAACACTCATGCACAAATATATAAATATATTTATACAGCGAGTGTAACTACTTTCGAACTGGCGTTGCCTTAAATGTTGTAACCAATTTGCACACACATATTGTACTTTCATTAGCAACAAACCGAAAAAATACTACAGGATTGTGCACTTTGTACATCTTGCACAACTCATATTTCAAATTT